TGTCAGGTGGGGACATTAGGTTTGTTGGGCCCCATGCAGGATCCCTGGGGGCTCGGCTCTTACTGCTGTTTGTTCAAAGAGGAATAGGACAGAGAATCCTCAGAGGCCAAGATGGGCCCTTGTTCCAGCCCTAGGTGCCTGAGGTTTCTACCTGCCCCTCCCCCCATTTTGGCCCCTCAAGGCAGATCACAGAGTCAACCCAGCCCCGTCCCCCCCCTCTGGCCCTCCCCCCGCACTGAACCCACATCAGGGAGGAAGTGATGGCCCAGATCCTCCATCTGCCCAGGGTGCTCCTGTGCACGGGGCCACAGAGGTCCTAGCTGGTCCATGAGTGGGGTCGGGAGGCAGCCACTTATTCTCCCCACCTCCTGGGGCTCACATCCACAGAACCACCATTGATTGGCTGCCTCACCACCAATGAAAGAGACCCCCAGATGGAGGGAGATCGTGCAGCCCAACTCCGCACTGATAACCCACCACCCAACCACAGGCGAATGTGACTACAGGCAGGAAGCTGAGGGGAGGTGTTGGCTGACAGTGAGACATGGGGGTCTGCCAAGGAGGCTGCTCCCAATGACAGGCAGTGGCTAACAGAAGGTGTGCTGTGCCAAGCACTGTCTCTCAATACTTTATGTCTGTTAATTCATTCAATCTTTACAACAACCTAGGAGTTACGTGCTATCATCATCCCCATGTTGTAGATGAGAAACTGACACAGAGATAAGAAAACACACCCCCGTGATGTTCTGACGCACACAGCCGGTGTCAGACCCCAGGTTTTAATTCGGGGGGTTGGGCCCCTCGACGCTGTGCCATTCTGTTTCTCCAAGCACCAGGATTGTAAAAGAGACATGCAAGGGCCTTGTTGCTTAGGGCACACACAGGTTCAAAGAGAGAGAGGCAGGAAGGTGAGAAGTCCAAGGGCCCAGACCGGGAGTCAAGCCCTCGCTCCACTGCCCACTGACTGGCTGGCCTTGGGCATGAATGTCCCCTCTCTGGGCCTCCTTTTCTCCTCTGTTGGATGAAGGGTTGGGCTCCTTTTTCAAGGGCTGACCAGCTATAATGGCTTATAAGTCTCTGATCTAAATTTACACAAGACACAAGCACTTGCCATCTGGCCCATCCCTGAGAGCAGATTCTCAGGGGGAAGATTCTCGGGCCCCGAGCCAGCACTGCCGAGTTCTGCAGAAGAGACAGCCAGAGGTAGGCAGGGCCCTCCTGAAAGAGCATTGACTCAGATCCTGCCTCATGATCTCTCTTGCTTGTGGATTTGCTGCCCTGACATCCATAGACTGACCTGGGGGTGGCCTCGAGCTGGGCCAGGCTGGAGACTCCTTGGATTTTTGGGGTTGAGCTGAGGTGATGAAGATTAGAGAGGAGGGAGGACAGGCAGATGCCCAGGGATCCATCTGCTGATATGTGGCCCTCGTCTTGTACCCCGAGCTTGGATGCTTTATGCTGGGCATAGCGGTGGCTGTGGCCTCCCCGTGATGCTGACCACAGGCCCCAATGGTGTGGCCTAGGGAACTGTGTGCTGGGGGTGGCTCCGCTCAGTCCGGAAAGGCCGCTCCTTTGCTCACATATTCCCATGGGGACTAGCAGAGGCTTTGCTGCTCTCGGGCCTGGTGTGCCTGGCCCCTCAGTCTGTGGACCCCGGGCTCTCACTCTCTGTGTGACTCCTGGCTCTACTTCCTCCTCCCTTCTCACCACCTTGTTTCTACATCTTGGGAATATTGTTCCCAGAGCCCCCACCATCCAGGTCCCGAGCTGTGTGTCCTCTCGCCTCTTCCCTGGCTAAGGCTCTGAGGAGGCCTCTCACCTTCTAGATAAACACTACATTAAGATCAACACTGGATATGGGCAGGCACAGACTTCCCACCTTTCCTCATGGTGCCTGCGCTCCCTTTACTCCTGCCTGCTCCCCATCATCCTGTGACTGATTCCCCAGGACAAGCAGTCGGTTGAACAGTGTTGGTCTTTCTTTGGAATCATAGCCCTGCATGGAGAAAAGCTGGGCTTCACTCCCTCCTCTCCAAAAGTCTGGACCTGGCCTCGCAGGGCATGTGCAGGAACTGAAGTAGGGCCATAGGGAAGATAAGACCTTCAATAAGGCTGGTGCTGCTTAGGCCACCTGACATCTGTCAGCTTGGTGCCCCTGTCAGCCAC